ATATTGAATGATAGAAAAGAGACTAAGAATACAGAATTTTATGTCGTTTGAATGTCCTAGCCAGTATTTTTTGCATCAATTCAAATATGTGTGGTGGAAAGAAATCCCCCATGTAAGAATGTTCTGTGTGAATTTCACAACTTTTCGCATCATGGACAATAGATTTCTTTTGACAACCTCCGAGTCCCAACCGTGAATCCTTTTTTAGAAAGATTGCTGGAAAAAAAGGTACGTCTCAAGTTTGTCCCCAGTGACTCGGATGACGATATAGCCACTTTCTTTTCCTTTGTTAGAAAGATCTATATATCTAGATTACATTTTTTTGTATTTCTTTTTCAATCTTAACCCCCCCCCCCCCCCCCCCCCCACCCTTCTAGTTTTTCTCTCTCTCTCTTTCTCGGCATCTGTCTACCTTTCAAACATCATTTTCTACGCATGGGACTGAACAAACATATCTAGTCAAAGATTGCTTGCTTTATTGCCATTAAAAGCCCAGGAGAAGGATACACTTTCACATTTTAGTGTCACTCAAATGATTCAAAATCATAATTTTAACTACGCTGGACCAATCAACAGTGCTTTTCCAAGTTTATTTTTTGATTTACTTACGAGATGCCTCACAATTTGAAGCCAGCGGACTGGAAAACGATGCTTAAAAAGTATGGTATCTTTCGATCTCTGAAACAGCCGATGAACTTTAAATGAAATCTTTTCAAAATGCGCATTTGGGATTGCACGTGTATGTTCTGAATGATTAGTCGCCTGAAGATCATTAATGTTTTGTTTTACTGATCATGATCTGTTCATAATTACTAGACAGAATCAATGCCACTGGCACTTATAGTCATTATCATCAAGCATCATGATCATGCACTATCACCATCATCTTCTTCATCATCATAATCATCATTCTCATCATCACCATAATTATAATCACCATCAACAATCCTCCTCATCATCTTCATTATCATAATCACCATCATCAACAATCCTCCTCCTCACCATCGTGATCATCGATCACTAATTCATCTTCTCCATTATTCATCTCATCAATATCGTCCTCATCATCATTCATCATCTTCACCACCACTACCATAATCATCACTATCATCATCACTCACCACCATCCACCCCTTCCCTGTGTTTGAACATCACTTTAATAGATCAAGCTTCCAATTAAAACAAAAATGTTTTATAGTAGAAAAAATACCCACCCAATTTAACTTTCACAACGATTTTCACAGAAATAATATTAAAAATAAAATAAATTTAAACAAGAAAAGAAAGAGAGAGAGAGAGAGAAGAAAAAAGCAATTTTAAGTCAAGCTCATTTTATTACTTTCTAGGCAAAATGTTAAACAAATACACAGCATTCATGAGAGTTCAATTGAGTATGATACATTCATATTTCACAAATGAAAGAAGATATCATATATATATAATGGTTTCTATGTACAGAGACAGGCAATGTTGAGTCTTCTACTTTACACTTTGGGATATATATATAACACAAATTAGGAAGATAACTATATGATTATGTACATATACTCATTTTCTTAATATATATCTCTCTAGCTTTCATAACAAGAGTTCAAAATAATTTATACAAAAATAGTTTTAAGTAGGGGTAACAACATCCCTGAAGATACCTTTAAAAACGAAATGACCTTATTGCAAGTTTTGTCATTCTATGTACACATCAGTATGAAAGATTACAGGATATCATCATAGCTCCTTCAGCGATGATACACCAATTACCTATCAAATTTTTGGTCTATGTTTGTATACAAAAAAGATACATGTATTCCCTATCTGAACTTCCGATGATAAACTCTCTTTGCTAAGTAAGTTCCTAAGAGAAACAAAGAGAGAGACCCCTGCTAGTTGTGATTTACTACAAATTGACCACCATACAACCATTTGAAACACATCTAAGGTTTAAACAAATCAACAAAAAAATCATATTGTCTAATTCACACTGGGTAGCCTCATACAAATATATGCTGTTCTTCAAGAGGGGCCTGTAAATATTATTACCTGAGCATTGCTAAGTACCCATTTACTACATCAGGGGGTGTTTCATAACGATGCTAAGTAGAAATTAACTCTTAAGTTGGACTTTAAAATTATGGAGAGCCATTTGTAGCCTTAGTTTAAAATATATTCAAAAGTGAAAATTCAAGTATTTTAGACTTTTTATAAATTCCACATCAAGAAAATGGCATCTCCTTGATAATAGAAAATATGAATGATCTGTATCAACATTCTATGCCTTTTAAAATAACTTTTACAAAAATACTTTCAAGGATGCTAACGGCTTTCCATAATTGTTAAGTCCAACTTAGGATCTTTGTGAAACACCCCCCTGGGTTGAGAGAGACAAAGGTGGTAAAACACCAAACCAGGATTGAGCCCAGGACCTTTCATAAGAGAGACATGAGCCTTGATTGATGCTACAATGTTTCTTAATTCTTTAAGCTCTTACCAGACAGTTTGTTTTTTCAATTCCATGAAAACTGAACCTCATTTTAAGATCTAAATGACTTTTTTATCCATTCCATACAAAATTCAAAGTTGCTTGAAGCTTGGGCTCCTTTAAGTGCATACACATCTAAAAAAATCATTTCTAAAATATAACTTTAAAACAAGAATTAATCTTTCATACTTTGATTAGAAAACATATACCATGATCTCCCCACAGCAATCATTTATCATACAACCCTTCGCAGCTTGTTAGAATTCTACAAATATAATTGTTCTAAATAATAGCTCTAACCTTTGGCATGAAATGAGTTTAAAAGACAAGAGTACATTCTATATCGATGCAGCTAAAATTCCTTGTCCATATGTCATGATCCATACACCTTTACCCAAGAAAATATTTCAAATAAAGGGCTGTCTATACTAGATGTGTATAGCAATTAACTTTAAATGGTTCTGAAATGGATTCACTTGCATATGTCATTCATGCAATAAGACTATTATTATACCAAGAATCCAACAAAGACCCTTTTGCATCATCAACACGAGCCCATGACTCCTGGGGAGTGTTTCACAAAAGATCCTAAGTTGAACTTATCTTTAAGTTGGACTCAACAATTATGGAAAGCCGTTAGCATCTTTGAAAATATTTTGTAAAAGTTATTTTAAAAGGCATAAAATGTTGATTCAAATCATTCATATTTCCTATTATCAAAGGAGATTCCATGTTCTCGATGTGGAATCTATGAATTTTTGCTTATAAATATATTTCACTTTGAGGCTAAAAATGGCTCTCCATTATAAGTTTAAGTCCAAATTAGAATCTTTGTGAGACACTCCCCTGGTATGATTGAATTCTCACATATCTTGTTTACAGGTGGCTTGAGATTAAATATTGTTTTCATTGTCAGTGACATTGTCATTCATGAAGACATTATGAAACATCAAACCCAAGTTAATAGCATTTTATTCCTCCAGCATGTCCAGACCTAAACTCCTTGCATACTGGAACCGGTTGACTGCCGATAGTAGTAAGATAATCCAGAAGGTTTACACCTTTCAACAAAATTGTTTACAGAAGGCGCTAATAAAGACACTGCAAATGAACAAGCTCCAAATTCCCTCCAAATTCCCAGCTACATGTATGTATGCAAACCCTGCTAACATTAATACTCAGAAAAAGGCCATCACATTATGAAACGATCACACTGGTCACAAGCCCTTTTCGCCCAAGAATTAAAACTTCAATCAGATCAGTAAAGACAGCACAGTAGTTTACTGTTGATCCCAGTGCGGGTATTATGTCACAGCTGCATAAACGCATTCATACTTCGTACTTAAAGCTTTATAATTTCATTCTGTTTTCATAAAATTATCTAAAAGGTAACCTCAATGATTAGTAGAAGTATTGTGATAATTTGTTTAGAAATTCAATCCAGTTGTCAAGATATTCAAAAGGCCTCTTTAATAATGCAATAACTTTGGGTCTTTATGTATAACTCCAAGCAACTACTTACTTAAAAAAAAAAAAAAAAAAAAAAAAAAATAACTATAATAGCTGTATTTGAGACCCTGAAACAGTATCGTACTGATGGATAAGCACTTGGACTGATAGAAAAGATGGACTACGGCTTAAGCTCACTGCCCACTGTACGATCCAACAGCGATTGTGAAACACCCCCCAGCTGGCCCTGCGCATCTAAGGTACATGCATGAACATGACTGCAGAATCCTGAAAGCACTAATATTTTCATATATTCAATACCTGATATTATTTTTGGCTTTTTTTCCAATGTTGGAGTGCAATTGGATTGTAGAGTGCACGGTAGGCTTTACAAAATAATTCTAATTCACCACATACATAATACATGTACAACAAAACAAACACAAAAACACTTGTCTATAAATATAAAGTGTGAGCCCTATTCCACATCAATGACTAGATATGATTGTGTTGTATTAAATATATTGTGCTTTGTGAATTTCTCATAAAGTAATGTCTCAAATTATGAAAGAAGAATTCAGCAATTCAATATATCTTCTGTCAGTTGCATAGAATTGTGTGCCAGGCATTTATACTGATTTCTTCCTTACTTCCATACAGGCAAGTTACATTATTGGTTGCTTTACAGTCAACTTGCCAGCAGTAATAGGTATAGACAACACCTCACAATTAATAACATAAACAGCCTCATGAACTATGTACAATAAGTCTTGGTTTCACTAATTTTCAATAGCACTACCTTGGAATAATGATGGAAAAACTTGAAACACCTGATTTCTTGTAATCGAAGGCCACTTACATTCGTCATTAATACATTACAATATCAAATTTTGAGAGAAAGATTATTGCAGTGTTTGATATTCCTGCAAATGAAAGTGATTCTGTGCGAAGTGTTATTTACACTTTTAATATCAATTTATTTATCTTTATATTTTCTTTTAAAAAAAATAAAACCTAGAAACAAAATTTGTGATGGATAATATGAACAGAATAAGTGATAAATGAAAAATGCCCGTAAGAAAGAAAATGATCTGGCATACAACTCTTGAGTTAAATAACCCTGTATAACAGAATAGAATATTTTTAATTATTTGACTTGAATAAACATATTCTGATTTTTAGCTTAGTATTCACTAGGACAATATAACTTAAAAAGTTGAATTTACCAAATGAAACATGATTTTATAGAATTTCAGTATAACACATTTTAAGAACAAGAAATCCAATTATTCAAAAATTAATTCAAATATAAATGATTAAATTAATAATTAATCCAAAATCTAATAGTCATCAAAACAAATCAATGAAGCTGCCTTTAAACAAGTCAATCCAAAAATTGATACACTGTATATTGCAATAGATATGGGCATGCATCATGCATCTATATGCCTGCATATTGTGAAAAGGGCAACTCTGTATCAAATATGGTAGACCCTTATGAAATTATGCATCTATTTAATAGCAAATCAAACATCAAAGGCTCGTACAGATATGACGCGGTTAATTGCCATGTTTTTTGTTCACGTATATGAATAACAACTGCGCGCAATAAAGGTCTTGCGCTTATTCACCGAGCTCTGTGATTGGAAACGTGAAGCGTAATACAATTAACATCATCGTAACAGAACTGCTGTGGTTTTTTGCCGCGTCAAATCTGAAGTAGGCTTTAACAGCGCATGCATGCACTCACTTTGTTAATTTCTCCAAACAGGAAAATATGGAGGAGGTATCAACAAACAAAACATGGTACTATCAGTACTAAACAAGCTGCCACTGCAATTAGAGATACCTTTACTAAAACCTGGCTTTAAAAAAATAAAAAAATCTATTATACAGGGTGGTCCAATAAAAACGGATTAGCATGCTTTCATTGAAGTGTGGTCAAATTCACTGGTAACAGCTGACGGAGAGTTTTTCACAAGAAAAATGACACCATTATTGACTCATTTGGTAGAGGGGTTTTTGTTTAAGGGGTCATTTTGTGATGCAAGGGTGGGGGTTCAAATTTGTTCAGTATCAACAAAACTTTGTTTTAAACAGTTCTTATAATTTCATGTCAGTGTTCAACAGTCATTAAAAATGCCTGAAAAAAAGACAAAGGTTTGTGGAATATTATGTTTTGTGTTCAATCTGAAGGTTAATAACAGCGTGCACAAACCTCAACCATCATACATTTTTCGAAATTACACAATGATGCATCATTTTCTGCAAGGAGCACTGCCAGAGGATGTCTTAAAAATTGATCCAGAAAAAGAAAAAAATAGTCTACCTATTGACGCAAATAAGGTATCAATTTTCTCCCGAAAAGATTCCCTGTATAATGGTACCAGTAGAACTTGCCTCACATTATTGAAAGTATGATATTTTGTTTTTTTATGGACCACCCTGTATAAATTGTTAGAAGTATCTGAGAAAGATAAGAGATTAGAGAGAACCACAAGCCAGCACAGTCTTGGGTGTATTGCCGTTAACACTCACACACACTCACCCAAACATCACAAATATATAGCTGTTCGTCTATGTACATATCCACATCTGTACAACATAATTGGCGAGATAGTGTTTACAATAAAATATTATGAAAAGTAACAGATAAAATTCCCCCCGGCAATTTACTATTGCCTTTTCCCCCTATGTGTGCATCTCCTTTGATGCTAAACAAGAAAGAGGATGCAGTCTTCAGGCGTTGGAATATCTTATATAGATTCTGGGTCCATTTCTTACCCATTTGCATCAAGAATGTACATTCTAGTTTACTTATCATGCAGCAATGATCGTAATATTTCATCATCTCCTCTGAAAAGCTTCTTCATTCTTTAAATTAAGGAAGTACTATCCAGAGACACCTTTTCCAAGAGCCTTTCAAAACAAGGATCTTTGACCTTCTACACTCCATCATCAACAAGGGGTTCAACCCTCAGATTTATACCCTCAATCTTCTGTTGACTCCACATCAGTCTTTCAGGGTGTACAGGATTTTGTCTTCTGCCCGCAAAACTTGTCTTCTGTAAAAAGACACAAGTGTATTCCTCAGCAGTCTTTCAGATTAGATTTCACTTTACTCCTATGACATAAATCTTCTTGAGAAAGACTCAACTGCATTCATACAAGTGATCATTCAGAGTATCCCAGGCTTCTTTTTCTTCTAGGACACTCATCTTCTCTTCTCTGGAAGGTTGCAACTGCATTCCTCAGTGGCCTTTCAAAGTGTACCACATTGCTGTTATTCCTGTGACACTCGTTTCCTTCATAGAATCACAGCTGTATTCTCTACAGATGAAGCCATTGAAGCAAGAGCCAACCTGTTCCTTCACACCCACCAGATTTGTAGATGTTGCAGTCCACTTTCCCAATCCGATGAAAGATAGATGTGCCACCGAGCTTTTCTTGGCAACACTCTTTTCCACACCATGCTGGGACTACGCCCTTTGTAGTTCCCTTACGGCAACACTTGCACAGCCTCTGAAACTAGCACAGTCTCCGCACCTGGCACGGAGCATGAGCGGATGTATCAAGACACCTGAAGCATCCAAGGATTACCACTCTCTTGCCCAAAGACCTAACCCAGGTGCTGAACACCCAGGGGGATAAGATCGAGAGAGAGTTCTGATCTCTAAGTCACTATCTAGGAGAGGCAACAGCTACGCGATGGTGTCCCACGGAAAGTTATCTTCAATGTCGTCATCGGGGAAATCGGTCGTGCGTCGCGGCAGAACACTCTGGTGGACTACCCGTTGCATGTGAGCGTTTGGCGATGTCCCCTGGTGGGGTTGAGGAACCATGGTTGGGCTGAGGTTGTTGTGACCCATACCCATGACCGGTGAAGGCACGCCCAAGGATTGGTGGCTACTGTTGGGACTGAGGAGGGGCGGTGAACCCATCAGGAAACCCCCGCCACCTGTCGTTGAGTTGGAGATGCTGCTGTGCGGGCTGTCGCTGAATGCGCTACCTGTAATGGGGGCATCAAGAACAAAACACAAGATTATAAATTGTTACAGAGAAAATGTTATCATTTCATCCCATATTAACCATTATTTGAAAAAAATATAATCCTAAAGATTTAATCTTTACCTTTTATAGATACAAACACAGAAGAAAAGATATGTCATTCAATATAACAGAACCAATCACCTTAAAGGGATAAAATTGCGTGCAGCTAGAAAGGATGATTATTTATTCATCATTCATCATGTCAATGATTTCAAACCATTTCAACCGTCCTAGAGAGTAGATTATGGAAGAGTTTCATCAAGATGTAAATACTGGTTTGAAAGTTGTTATATCACATCCAAAAGTAAAAATTACCTGTATCAGCGATCTGACATACGAAGTAATCGCCAAAACAACAACTACTGGTGATCAAAAAATTGGCGGCTTATTTCAGTCTACCAATTCCCGTCTGAGGAAGATGTCTGAACTCTTTTGGATGTGCTTTAAGAACTTTCAAACCCATTTAGAGAGTAGATCTCACATTTTTGCTTCTATAGATCTATAGACCAATAGGCTAAAGGGTCAAATCATCTAAACAGACAATTTGTGTCCAGCTAGTAAGTATGAAATTTGGACTTTTTAACAAATTAGGTTTCTTGAGGTCATGCCAAATAACAGAGTAGGTGGCCTTGATTTGAAGTGCGATTTCCTTTCCTATTTCCTCTCTTCAACAATAATGGATCCGGGATAAACCAAAACCAATAAGAACTAAGAATGTTTAATGTGCTTTCATATTCTTTCAGTTGCCTTAAAAGCACACGTTTTACCACAATATGTTGAGCTCTACTTATTTTTAATCCTTCATAGATTTGAGGTTTTGCTTTTGATTACAGAATGCATCTTATCCTACATTTGTATTTCTCCAACCCCCCCCCTTTTTTTTGGGGGGGGGGGGGTATTTTGAAAGTGAAAGGGGTGTGCCACATCTGTATTCATTAAATTGTTTGGTTGTTTCATTCTGCTTATAATATCTTTATTTTTTTTTCTTTTATCACCTGATGTTTGTTTCCTCTTATATCATCTCAAAATCAAAATCCTCTCACATTCCAATTATTTATCTATGCACTATCCTACTTTCATTCTTATTCTGCATACATGTACATGTAGTTATTTTCTTTCTTTTATTTTAATCTTCTTCTGTTTCTAATACTTCTTTGTTTTCTTTCTATTTTAACACCAACGAACCTTTTCTACAAAGGGGAGATAAAAATATATCTTGCCCCAGAACTCAGAAGGAGTACACAAATAATGCTAGGGGCGCTTGGACTAAGTACAGTCCTCATTGGTCATATTCCATGCCTAATTCAACAGTGAAAAGGAAGAAAACTTCTCTCCAAAATAAATGAATCAATAAGGTCTGTAAACTATGTAGCACAGAGGGGAAGAGCATCAGCCTTGAAATTTATCTCTGATTATTTTTTCTTCTTCTGTTTCCCATCTCTACAACTACTTTTCATCACATTCATTCATTTCTTACTGCCTATTGTACAAATTAATAATAATAATAATAATAGGCATTTATATAGCGCCGTCTATCTAGACAATTCTATTCCGAGGTGTACAAGAAAAATAGAATGAATGAGAGAGTTTGGATGAGTGTCATAGTGGCAAGCACAGGTATTGTTAAAAAAGATAAGATTTCAGCTTGGATTTAAAGGTCTCTCAGGAAGTTATGATTCTCAAATTAAATGGTAAATTATTCCAAACAGAAGGTACTGCAGCTGAAAAGGTCCTATCACCACATGGTAATCGCATCTTGGGGATCTTAAAAAGATGCTGGTGTGATGATCTTAGACTACGAGCTGGTGTATAAGGCATAACAAGGTTTTGTAAATAGTTTGGTGCCAATCCATTTACAGTCTTCCATGTGAGGAGATGGATTTTGAATTATATGTGCTTGCAGATTGGCAAGCAGTGCAGCTTTTTGAGAACTGGGGGGTGTTTCACAAAGATCCTTAGTCGAACTTAACTCTAAGTTGGACTTAAAAATTATGGAGAGCCATTCGTAGCCTTAGAATGAAATATATTCAAAATCAAAAACTCAAGTATTTTAGACTTTTCATAAATTCAACATCAAGAACATGAAATCTCCTTGACAATAGAAAATATGAATGATTTGAATCAACATTTTATGCCTTTTAAAATAACTTTTACAAAATATTTTCAAAGATGCTAACGGCTTTCCATAACTGTTAAGTCCAACTTAGGATCTTTGTAAAACACCCCCAGGAGAAAAAGAGGGCTACATACCTCCTCCACTACCCCGACTTGTGTTGAGAAAACCAGCCACGCCTGTCTGCTGGAAGAAGTTGTTTAGCGATTCAGCCAGATCTGCAAACTGCCCAGGCTGCAACGACCAGTTCTTGGAGTCTGCTTGCCTCATACTCTCCATCAGACCTGGCACATTCAAGAGTATCAACAGGGTCAAATAATAATAATAATAATATCTAAGATTTATATAGCGCTGGTATACACATACAGTTTCTAAGCGCTTTACAAAACAAATGAAATGAAAATTATGTTTGATCTAAATGTGTAATAAGCATCAACAAGAAATGTGAAATGAACATTGTGCTTAATTTAGAAGAAACAAACAAATAGTATTAGCATTAGGGTGAGGTTGCACTGTCTTTCTTTCATTTCGTCATAGTAATCATCTCTATTTCGCATTTATTTCAAACAAAATCTAATGTGACTCTACAAATGATGTTATAGCCTGTCTGCACTAGTTTGGCCAGGAGGGATTAGACCTCCCTGCATGGTCACTGAAAGGTGGTTATCTCATCAAATCAGCTCTCACTTAACATAAGATAAAGGAGACCATGGGGGTCCAACGGGTACCGCTTAGACATTGTGTGCTATATAGAGAGCGCAAGTAGCTACAACTAGTGCAGTCCCGCTTTAAAATGCATCCCAAAGCTTTAATAATAGCAAAAGAAAAGCATTTTACTTGTAAATGCTATTTAAAAAAGAGCACCACATGAAGAACCCTAGGAATATCTGTGCACTGTGGGTATACAGAAATATGATGCGCACTACCCTGTAGGTCATTTGATTTTGCCTCATTGGCTCATGAGGCAATACTGCATCATATTATAAGAACAAGGCTTCTAATAGCAAGTGATAATCTTAGGGTTAGGAATGTACAGTATTTCTGTCTTTCTACATACAAAATTGTCTATTTTGTACTGATTTCAACTGAATCTCACTGACTCTGTGTACCGGTACCACTGATTCTCGCCACACTGTTTAATAGCAAACTGCAAGTCAGGAAACAAAACAAGGGTTGGCCTTTGTGACATACTAGTTCCTATGTCTTTGCCATGGTATCCTACCATAAACCCTGGTAATGACTAAACTTCAGAGGGAAATTAAGCAACCACCAGAATTCCATGAAATCTAACCAAATTAGGTAACGGACTGTCAAAATACCTGCTAGAATGTTCTTCAAAAAGGCATTGCTTCACATATTTTCAGAGAGAACCACTGGTGATACAGCAAGTGTTCATTCAATCAATTACCCCCCAAAAAAGATTACTTTGGCATTGTAAATGGGGACCTGGTAGGAATTTATTCCTTGAAATGCAGAGCGTGTGACAGCTGCACTGCTAAAGCCAGGGTTATTATGCAGCATTATTGTAGAGCGCTTAGAGACTTCTGATAAAGTAAGTGTTAGGGGCTATATCAGCAAATATAATTATAATTATTGTACACTGCATTCTAGCTATATGACTAATTTCATAGAAAGTGAAAAATATCTGTTTTAAAGCATTGTAATATATACAGGTTTAATGTTTGCTAATCTGTGACATGCAGAACACCTGCCAATAAAGACTGCTTTTCTCGATTCCCTTGAATAGTCTTGAAACACAGGTTTCACTGTAATACCACCTGTCTTATACCATCTGGTGAGATCTGCAAGGACAGTTACTTCAAATCTTAACAAAGTTGTAACACCCATCTTCCTCTCAACAATGCTTTGTTTACAACTACATTGTTTTTAACACTGATGGAAGTAAAAAATGTCTGATATATAAAGGACAATATAACTCTAATCTTGAATCATGTACTTCTCAGCCTTATCAAAAAAGGCATGAAGCCTCCATTTATAAAATTTACTTTTCTTGTGTTGTGAACCAACAAAATTGCTTATACTGACAGATGATAGGACGAAGAGACAATGAGGTTATGGCCACTCACCTGCAAATTGTGATAAATCTAAATCTGAGAAATTGTAGCTGCTTGCAACCCGCACGCTTTCTTTGAGAATGTCAAGGTTATTCATCCAATCTGTATTTCCTGTTTTTAAAATAGAAAAAGAACAAATAAATTGTTATTGCAACCCAGTTTTTGCAAGTACTATTGTGTTAGATTCTTGGTCAATATTCAAGATGAGGTGATGAGGCGAGAAGAAAAAGTGAGAAGGGTAAGTAGCAAAATGGATGGATTGGAAGACAAGAGAAAATGGAAAGCTATTGAAAGAGAATAATTAAAGGAAAGATCACAAAAAGTAAAGAAAAGGAAGAAGTTGCAAGAAGACAAAGGGAAAGAAAGAACAAAGACAAGGGAAATTAAAGAGGTGGGAGAAGAGAGAATGATTGGATCACTGAGGTGAAAGTAACAGTGAGAGGGGGGGGGGGGAGAACAAAAATGAGGTAAGAGGTGATAGACTAATATTAAGATTTATAAAAAAAGGAAGAAAAATAAATTTAGAAGGAAGAGAAAAAACGAAAATTAAGAAAACAAGACAAAGGAATACATAGAAGAAAAAGAAGAAGACAGAGGAGGGGGAGACGAAGAAAAAAATGAAGAAGACTAAAATGATGCAAATGATAAAGAAGAGAAGAAAAAGAAAAGAAAAATGGTTTGATGTCAAAAAGCACATAAAGGAAAGGGATCACAAGCAGAAGGAAATGAAAATGAAAGCAAAACAAACATCATGGCAAGCAGTGTTCTGGAAGAACGATCATAGGAAATCACACTGACATCCTACAGGACATTTCCCTTCTAAAAACAAACTCTCTTCATCCGTTTGAGATTACCCTGAACTGATTTCCATAAACTGACACTGTGTGCTTCTTGGAATACTATACATACATTCCAGCTATCATTATATACATATGTAGGGAAAGACATGGCATAGATTGAATCAATAGTTTCAATCCATATCAAATTTCAGACAAAGAACTATTGAAACCTATTAAATGGATAGTTCTTGGCAAAACTGAAAGGAAAGATTGATCAAAATGATGGATTTATTTTCAGTGAATTTGCCTTGATAGGCATTCTTTAATTTGAGATTGTAGTGAAGCAAAGCCCTTTTTTCCCTCAAAATCTTGGGGGAAAAAGAGAGTGTGGAGTACAATGAATAATATTGAGTGCATTGCTGCTATAATGACATGAATCATTAATGCTCATATATCGGTTTGGTTTTAATGTATAAGCACACACATCACCGTGATACTGTCCTTCAGGTTTTATATGTGAACACACTTACTCTAACCATGGACCCTACTCTAACTATACTAAAGGCATTGTAAAATCCATGTCAAGTTTTGATAAGCCCCCACAAAACCTTTCTTCAGTAAAACCATACCAGTCTTTAGGTCAACATAGGAGGCGCAATAGCTCAGTCGGTAGAGCAGTGGTCTCGTAGTCCAGTGACCCGAGTTCGAAACCAAGGCGATGCCCTTTGGTAAGGCATTATCTCTCGGAGAAGACCTAAAGCCGTCGGCCGTCTGGTTGCTTACTTACAAGTATTTATGCTTTCTTAGCAGTGAGGTAAAATAATCACCACCACTATGATATAACATACCTAATGACAGTTGAAGAGGTTGTTGCTGCGACTGTTGTAAGACCTGCTGTTGCTGTTGCTGGTTTAGTTGCTGATGTTGATTGTTGTTGAGTGAGGATATGCTACCTTGTGAATTGTTGAAGACACCACCCTGTTGCTGGTTTAATCCTTGCGATGAATTGGACTGCTCCAGCTGAAGCTTGTACTGTGCGATGATGTCACCAACATCTACAGAGAGAGAAGAAATCAAGAGTGTTCAGACATTTTTATTCTGGCAATATTTGCTCTGAGCTTTGTGTTGTCAAAGATACAATAGACTAAAATTCAGTCTACTTTGTTCAAGGAGATGCTCTGCTGAGGGTCAGAGACTGTTTGGCTCCACGGAATCCCTGTCCTATATGTAGAGGTGTCATGGTCAAGTGGATAGGTCGCCCAACTGTAGATCACATGGTTCACGGGTCGAGTCTCACCGTGGCACTAATGTACTTTAGCAAGACATTAATCTACATTTGCCACTCTCCACCCAGGTGTAGTAAATGGGTACCTGGTAGAAATGTATACATTGAATGCTTTTAGCACCTTAGGGCAGCTGGGCTAAAGCCATGTAAATGTAGCTATTAACATTATTACTACATGTGCTGGAGGAGAGCTCCATAAGTCAAACTAGGTTCTAAGACAACCACCTCCTTGACCAATTACCAGCGGGACAATCACCCCAAAGGAAAATTACCCCCTCCCCCCCATAAAAAAAAATATCTGCTTTTATTAAAACCAACTTATTATCAGGGTGGACTCCCCCTTTATAAACAAGGGGGGTATTTTTTTATTTTTTGAACAATTTATTTATTATTATTATTACTATTATTTTTTTTTTTCCTTTTTTTTTTTAAATTTATTTTTTTTTTTTTTTAATTATTTTATTTACCGGTTTTATTTATTTTTTATTTATTTATTTATTTATTTATTTATTTATTTATTTATTTTTTTTATTTATTTATTTTTTTTTTTTGGGGGGGGGGGGGGGTGTCCTTTGGGGTAGTTTTCTCGGGTGTGGGGGGGGGGGGGGGGTGATTGTCCAGGAGGTAATTGTCATGATACAGTCAAGCTATGTTATCTTAAAGATCAATCTCATTTAAGACTGTGACAAAATCATGACTACTTTTGACGCTGCAAGATGGATCAACCGATCAAGTATGACATATTTCCTGTTACGAACACACGCTTCAAGAAGTATGAAAAGGTAGTTTCATTTTCATATTAACAAAGATAAATAGCCTGCATTTTGCTATAATTTATCATTAATTGATCACAATCAATAAGTATATAATTTGTTTTCAGTTTTCTTTTCAAAGTTTGTACAGTATATATTCTTAAAAATTGAAAGGACATTTTTCCTTTAACCTTTGACATACATACATACATATACGATTATATGATGTAGTAATGTTGAACTAGAACCCAAAGGTCTGCCTAACTGCAACATTTAAATATTTGATGGCTTGACAGACACATTCATCAATTGGCTGGTGTTGCTTATTAACTGCCACATCACACACTACAGGAACATGTATGATTTGTTTGTAAATTAGAGCAAGCAAAACTGCTACACAGAAAAAAACAATGGCATACAAAATTTAATTTAATTTGAATGTGCATTCAGAAGCAACAACTTTAAATGTATTCTTTTGTGTTTTTTTGATGGCTTGACACATTCATCAATTGGCTGGTGTTGCTTATTAACTGCCACATCACACACTACAGGAACATGTATGATTTGTTTGTAAATTAGAGCAAGCAAAACTGCTACTAGAAAAAAACAATGGCATACAAAATTTAATTTAATTCGAATGTGCATTCAGAAGCAACAACTTTAAATGTATTCTTTTGTGTTTTTTTGATGGCTTGACACATTCATCAATTGGCTGGTGTTGCTTATTAACTGCCACATCACGCACTACAGGAACATGTATGATTTGTTTGTAAATTAGAGCAAGCAAAACTGCTACACAGAAAAAAACAATGGCATACAAAATTTAATTTAATTCGAATGTGCATTCAGAAGCAATTACAACTTTAAATGTATTCTTTTGTGTTTTTACCAGAGTTTTTTAAAAGAATTTTAATTTTCCAGAACTTTCCAGAACTAATTTACCCACAGCTCTAAATTCATTAAACGTATTATGGGAGGGAGGGGGGGGGGGGGAGGCTGCCTCAAAATGTTACTTTGCCATGAATCATGGTACATGTATGATCTGGGCATTTCCCGGAACTGTTTTCTTTTGCTGAACTTCCTTTCAATGCTTTATGTCATCCTGATACATGTTCATGTATATCGACAATGTAACACAATATGATCACATGTATTAACATAGGTATAAATATGCGTATTATCAGATAAGGGAAAGAAAAATTGATTCCCATTTTTACTTCAGGATTAATTTTTAAACGGCTGTTCTGAGATGTACCATATTTTTACATATTTTCCATGTATATAACAAATTCCTGAATACTATTTCATTTGCCCATGCACTAATCTGAACCCCTGTAATATTTTTCTTCTTAATTTCAAACACAAAGACATACCTGCCAACATTTGAAAACGATAATTAAGAATTTTTAGCACGGTATGTCTTCGAAAATAAGAAATCTGTACCCTTAACAGGCGTTCGCATATGCGGCGGCAGTGTAACTGGCAATACGCGGTAAATCTGTGCAAAAAAGCGAATACAAATTGGCTGCTCAATCATGCAGACCTTCAACACACGCAAAACGTGAAATCTCACATCGCATCAAATGATAAAACAAGCTTAATTTGGCTTAAGCAACACAAAAACAAAACAAAAAATCGAAATTGTGAAAAAACAGAATATTCCGGATTATTCGGAAGGGTTGGCAGGTATGCACAGAACTAGCAACGAAACATTCCTAAATTCTACAATTGCGTCAGATTTGCAAAAGTTTCATGGCTTTAGGTCATGATTTTGTGGTTTGTTTACATACTAAATAATGCAATATAATGCTTCTGTAAATTCAACCTTTTTGATGTGTATGATCATTCTCTGCAATTCAGTCTCATGACTGCTAATGTGAATGGGTTTTTTTAAAACAATTTTTTGTATTACCCCCCCCCCCAAAAAAAAGTCAATCAATGCTGATAAATTTCATCATTGGAATGCTTCTTTCAATATATTAAACAATTCTCTCTGTTATGTTCGTCTAAACATTTGGAATTCCCTACCTGTTTTTCGACTTTCATTCAAAAGACTTTCCAAGAAACATCTTCTCTCTCTTTATAATGCATCATTTATTTTAAGACCACATCTCACATACCAAAATGCAATCACCTTTCCCCCCTTTTTCCCCTAAGCGTTATGTTATTATTATTTCTGCACCTGGTGCATTCAATTTTCAAGCCTCATTGAATTTTACAGACACCATTTTTCATTTGTACTATGGTTTGTACTGACATATTTTCTTGTCAAGGTCAATTTAATTTAATATACTCATTGAATCACAAATGGAACAACATTGAATTTTTGCAAATTGCAAAACTTTCTGGTTTTAGAGGATTTACTTACCGGTATTCAAATTTTATTTATTCATTCACATTTTCCTCCTTACAAATTCTACAGATTCTGATGCAAATACTTGGCAGTTCCTTGTTCCTAATGTGTAAAGTAGTAGAAGTGTGATAGTGAATAGTCTCTCTAATCACTACCATCTACTACATATGGGACTAAGGGACAGGATCTGTCGAGACAGTTTAATAGAAAAATTCCTCTTTTGGTCTGTAGGGACGGTGTATGACATCATAGATCATATCCCTCTAGATTCTCTCATCGTGTTCCTGGCTGGAAAAGGGCATCTTCTATCAAAACTGAATCAGCTAGGCCCATGAATAGAATATCATATCTACCGTACTAGACAAAAACACTGGCCGACCATGATACATGTTGCACATTTTTCCATCAAAACACACATGTACATTGTGTCAGAGCAGCTTTCAAAGTCAGAAACCTTGACGTGACGATCAGAATTTGTGTAGTTTTGGTCTACATACCTGAACAATTTAACAAAAAGCCTATATACCGTGTAAATTCACACTATAAAATCATTGCTTTTGATAAGAGGAAACTTTGTAGTTAAGTGTGAATGTTTTATCATTAAAGTTCTACAAAGGCACCAACAACCCAAAACATGTTTGCAATTGGGTGCGATTATGATTCATACTATAAGTCTTGCTATCTTGTTGTGCAATAATTTGACTGAGCTTTACAAAATGAATTACACCACTTTCTGAAAACACATTGAACTGTTGTGCATAGAACTCGTCTTTGTGTACGAGCAGTTCTTTTTCCTGCTTGTGAGGGGACTGCCTTTAATATATGCAATATATGGTCAAAATCACCATAAAATCTATTAACCTAACAGGAATTTTCTGAATCCTTTCTATTCTGAGAATATCTTTTCCATGATGTGATATATACATTGTGGGGATTCCCCAAAATTCTACTTTGAAAAAACAAACAAACAAAAAAACTAATGCTGGGGAAAGGAAATACATGTACGCCTACATGTGTGATTGTGTGTCTTTGTCTCTGCCATGATGTGATATTATACATTGTGGGGATTCCCCAAAATTCTACTTTGAAAAAACAAACAAACAAACAAAATAACTAATGTGGGAGAAAGGAAATACATGTACGCCTACATGTGTGTCTTTGTTTAATATTACGCTAGGGCAAAGTCCACATTTCTAGTCAAGATTTACTGCAGAATCATATCTCATGCACACACAATTCTGGCTTTTAATGACCCATATTGCGAAGAAATAAAAAGAGTTTTGGCTTCTGAATCATCAGGGGTATTATTTGTTGTTGTTCTGCCAGTGCAAACACAGGATTGAAATTAAAACTACAAGTCTGGCTATCAGAAGTACTGTGTATTTGAAAAATAGTAGGAGTTTTAGTCTCTGAATCATCCAGAGTATTATTTGTATAGTTCTGCCAGTGCAAACACAGGATTAAAATTGCGATTGTAGTATTCAAACAACTTCTATGACACAACTCATTACACATACAATGAATATTATATCAGGAAATCTAATTTTTATGTTAAAATAACAGGCAAATACTTCACTTTAGAATGTAATACACGTACACATGCATGTATAAGTGCAGCAGATTGCATGAATAACAAATTGTATTATATTCATTTTTCAAACTATT